ATTTTCAAAGAAACAGAGATGTGTGTTTGATAATAATTTTATGTGAAGGCAATATTAAATTTAAGTTGTTGCAGTTCTTAATATCAGCAAAAAAATGGAGACCATTATTCAATTCAACAACAAGAATTCATTAAATAACTACTGTGTGCCAGGTGATTTGTTAGGCCCTGGGGGTGCAAAGACAAAAATGAACTAGTCCCTGCCCTCAAGGATTAGAGTAGACAGCGTGTATACATGTAAGTGAAGAGTTAAAGTGGTATAGTAGATAGGACACAAGGTTTGGAGTAAGGACAAGTGGGTTCAAATCCTGGTTCAGACACTTATTAGCTGTATGACCCTGGGCAAGTCACTGAACTTCCCTTGTCCACGAAATGAGGGGGTTGGACAAAGTGCCTTACAAGGTCCTTTTCAGCTCTAAATCTATTCTATATTCTTATATATGCACCTATCTTCCCCCATTGGGATGTAGACTCCTTGGCAATAGGGACTGTTTCATTCATTATACTTTAGACATTATATACACCTGCATATTATATGTCCACAGTGCCTGGCAAATAATAAGCACTTACTAGATATTTGTTGATTGACTGATCCCATGAAGTATGAAATAACCTTAAACCACACAGACCAAATTATAAATTTTCACTGTGCTAAAGAAGTAAGTATTCAATGGTGAATAATCACTTGGAAAGTGTGCAGCCTCACTATTAACCAAAGCAATATAAATGTGAACTACGTTGAGGTACCACCTCACACTCATCAAATTGGAAGAAATAAATTAAAGCAACAATTCAATGCAGGTGGGGTTATGGAAACATAGGCACACTCTTTATGTTGATTGGACTGAAAACTCAGAATCTTTTTGTAAAACAATTCTGACAGCACGGCACTCAGTAAACGTTATAAAGATCATCATATTATGTCACCAAATAATTCCATTGTTAGGACTATACTCCTTGAGTGCATCAAGATCTATGATGAAAGAAATGTCTAACTGTTCAAAGATTTTCTTTTATGCCAGACTTATTTATTGCAAAAATTATTGATTGCAAAAAGAAAAAAATAGAAGCAACCTTAAAGGCCAATAATAAGTGGAATGGTTAAATAAAGTGTGGAACAGTAATGTAATGAACTATAGAACTAGAATGGAATTAAGATAAACCAGTATAAAAATATGAAGAAATACAGAAAGGTCTTTATGAAATGATGCAAAGCAAAATGAGTAGAAACAGAAGAGAGTGCATGCTACCTACAAAGTGGGAGAAAAGATAAATAGGAATGAATGGATAAATAATACACATGAAAACTGAGTGACAGAAATTACTACATTTATGCACTGTTTACATTTGAGTAACTGTTGAAAAGCAAGTATAATTAGTTGTTTGTATGTGTGTGTGCGTGTGTGTGTGTGCGTGTGTGTGTGAGTGTGTGTGTGTTTGTATTGCTATTATTTGCTGAGGTGGGATGAGGGAGTTGGGAAGACTCCACTCATTCAGCTATAGTTGGAAACTTCCACTGGGAGTTAAGTGGCTTTGCCATGATCACTCAACCTGTATATGTCAGAGGGAGAACCTGAATCCAGAGCTTTCTGACTATGACTGCAAGGTTGGACCCGTTAGCCACTACGTCACATTGCCTCTAATTGATTGATTGCATGCGTATTTAATATTAAATCTTTTTTAAATCATTTTTAAAAAGACTATCAGAGTAAGTTAGCATTTTGTCAACTGAATGACCTGATTCATAAGCTTCCCCTCCAACTCTGCAGCTCAAGGAAGATGTCTGCAGTTCCAGGAAGATATCCTATCTACCACTCAAAAGTTTGTGCTTGCATCTCATCCTTCTCAAACTCTCTCTCACTCCCTCTCCCTCTGCCTCTGTCTCTCTCCTGCTCTCTTTGTCTCTCCCTCCCCCTCCTCCTTTTTCTCTCCTTCTTTCTCCCTGCTTTCTCTTTCTCCTCATTTCTTCCTTTCTCTCTCCCTCTGTCTTTCTGTCTCATCTCTATGAACCCAAAGAAGTTAGCTCTCCATTTGTGCAGGTATGACATGGCACCTGAAGCTCAGAAGTATCTCAATCAGAAATCATGTCTACCCCATAGCCTCTACGTAGCACAAGCTTCCATAGGCTTAAAAACTACCTCAAGCATGAGGCAAGAGTGGGACTACATATATTTCTCTATGATCATAGCCTTCCTATGCAAAGATGGCATAAGTGACCCACCATGAGCAGGTCACATGCTTTGGAGCTTGAGTGGTTTTTCCTTTACAGCGAATAAGTTTCTACTAACAATACCGCTAGTCAATATTCAACAAATTCAATTGATTTAATCCTTCTGATGGTAAAAACTGAATCCACACATTTTGTTGTGGGACTCAAGAAAGATGGTGCCTGCAAAGTTCTTTCGAAACTTTAAAACTCTATAGAAATGTCGATGATTATTAGCATCATCCTCTTCATCTAATTTATAGGGGCTGCCATTTTGAAAGTTGTCACAAAAAGAACATTACCAATTTTCAATGGAAAGTGTAAGTACTCCATGCCCAATAACACAGTACTGAAGATGTGTTTAACAAGTATAATGAATCCACATCTGTGAAAAATGAAAATACATAGTTATTGACTTCCCATTATACAAAATGTTGACATACAGTATAAGGAATTTGAAGAGTTTTGTGTTACATAAGGATTCTTCATTTTTACAAAAGAGCTTATCATAAGGTGCTTTGAAATCATAGAGTTCTTGATGGATAGAATAATAATGTATTATACATCATTGACATGCTGTAGTGAAAAGAAACCTAGATTTGGAGTCATAAATCCTGGATTCAAATTCTATTCCCCCTCTGACTGACTGTGTAATCATGAGCCATTTCTGAACCTTGGTTTCCTCACCTGGGATCAAGGTGTTGGCCATTAAGGTCACTTCTAGCTCTAAATCCGTGATGTAATTATCCCCTTTGATTGAACTCATTGAAAGAAGATAGGAAAATTTAATTTTCCAGTATTATGATTCAATTTTTAGAAATTCTGCTTAAATATATGATCTGCAAAAGAAGTAGGATAGTAATATAGCAAGAATAAGAAAGAGTCATAATTCCAGGAATTCCAGGTAATTCAACTGATATGGGAGCCACTCTTGTATATGGCTGAGATATACTGGACACAGAAATTGTGAGCATTCAGGAGGTAAAGGAACTGGGAAACCAAGGTGTTCAAAGGTAGTCAGAGCAGATAAGAGTGTAAGCCAGGTGCCAAACTTATTCAGGAGGATAGGCAACCATTTAGAGGATTATAGATGATGGCAAAAAGGATCTGGATGAGATGGAATTCACTGTAGAGGGAGTTACTGAGTAAAAGTGACAGAAGGTAGTTCTGAGAGTGGCAGTGGGGAGCAAGGAGTAGGAGAATTTCTCCTTCTGGCCTTGTGTGCCCTGAGGTGTGGTCATTTCTGGTGAGAGGAGAGGTCAGCCTTGCAGATAGTGACAAGAGGTATTGTGTCTTTGAGAGAAAGCTGTTATTGTTGTTTGTCTTTCATTCTCAAAGAGGACCATGACATGAGGGAGGTGATGCCATGACATGCAAGTGAATTGGATTTAAGTGAGGGAGGGCCGTGTAAAGTCACCAGCCTCACTGATTCAGAGAGCACCAGGCAATGGAAGAAGTGTGAGAGGAAGGGATCTGGCACCATCGATTTAGAGCTGGAAGGAAATTTCTGTAGGAGCATTTAGTGCAACCCCTTCATTTTACACATGAGGAAACTAAAGTCCTGACACCAGAAATGACTTGAAAGAACTGATCCAGGGTTCGAACTCAGGTTCTCTCATCTAAAGCCAGTGATCTTTTTTCAGCACCACAATAGGAGAGCTGTGCAGAGGCAAGTGGAAATTAGAGTAGAAGAGAATGGCCATTGGAAAGAGAGTTAGTATTGAGTTCATAGTCCTATTGGCTCTAGTGGGAAAGCAGGGAATGTCTTGAGCAGGATGGTAAAGGGTCTCAAGTTCATGGCATATAGTGATCTATTAAAACAACTGGAGATGTTTAACCTGGAGAAGACCTGGTTGGGGGAGGGGCATGATGGCTATCTTCCATATATAAAGTGTGGTCATGTGGAATAGACTTTATGCTGGCTCCATTTGGTCACGGAGGGCAAAACCTGGAGAAATGACAGGGTAGAGAGGGAGGGCTGGGGTGGAGAAGGGGACTTGCAAAGAGACAAACGTAATCTTTTTAAGTCTTCCTAACATTATAATTGTCCAAAAGAGGAATGAACTGCCTCAAGAGGAGGTGAGTTCTCCCTCTCTGGAAGCCTTCAAGCCGAGGTAGGATGACCGCCTATTGGGTATAGCATAGTGAGTGTTCGATTCTGGTATGGGCTGGACTGGATGGCTGCTGAGTTCCCTTCCCTTCTGTGTTTCTGTGACTCCCTGGGAAGCTCTGGGGACAGAAGGGAGGCACCCTGAGGGCTAGGGAGAGGGAGTAAGGCTTTCCTGTTAACAAGTGGGGCTGAAATAATCCTTCCCCCAGGGAAGCTCTGTGGTCCCACAGGAGGAATTTCCCCAACCCACATTACCACACAGGGTAGAACTCCAGTGGTTCTGTCATGATTCTAGCTCTGATCACAAAACATACATGGACAGCCTATGTGTTGCACTGATAGGTTCCCATAAAATAGCATGTGTGGAGTCTCTGTAGAATATTGATGGAAGGATATGGGCAAAGTTATATAGGAAAAGAAAGCAAATTTGTGTGGCTTTCTGAACTTTAGCATGACTTACCCACATAGATGAGACCACAGACCCATTAAAGTATTGATACAAATACTTTAAAATAAAATGGCCTTCCTTAAAATATAGTATAGCCTCAAAGGGAGGGGATGGCTTCAGATGGTGTGTTCACATACATAAGTAACTATATTTTATCATTCTGTTGCCCATTTTGGCCCACTTCTCCTTCCATTCCCCAGGTATGAGCATGCCTTGTGATTTCTATGCTCTTCCTACCTGGATTATGAGAGGTTCTAATAGCTTCTCCACTGTATGTGTCTGGATCTGGAGGTCCTGGGGTTTCATTTTCAGTTGGATCGGTGTCTCGGCTGACATGCTGCCTGTGCATAAGGACAAAAATAGACACACACACACAATTATAAGTGAGTCAAAATAATTTCTGGAGGACAGGGCCAAGCTTAGGCAGAATCATAGAGATGATCAAGTTTCATGGTAGCACCCCTTTCTCATTAGCTCCACCCTCTCAACTCAATTCAACCCAACTCAACAAATGTGTATTATGTACCTGCTAATAGAAAGAAGAGGCAGAGCATTCCATGATTTTAGCCCCACCCTAAGTTATTTTAGGCACAAGCAAGGGTGTGTTGGTAAATGGTAAAAACAACCAGTTCTCTGGGAAAGGCAATGTACTTGTGACATACTTCTAAGTTTAATCTACATTGACATTTTCTTCATCACTTTCCAAAGTCTAGACATTCAATAAAATAATAAATCAAGCCCTTATTTGTAACACTTGCTTATTTCAAAGGTATAAATTCTCACACTGAAAATTTAACAATCAGCTCTCAGTGCCAGTTAGGGCTGGCTCCAGGACACCCCTGGAGAAGGGGAAGCATTCATTTTCTCTAACGTGTAAACTTTTACACCTTCGGTTCCATTAAGTTCATAAATCATCCAAGTGGGCACTCCCTCCAAAGGTGCAGATCACAGCCCCTCCATGCCTCTTGTCTAAGTCTTCCTGGAAATCCACCATAGGAAGTCCACTCTCCATGCTGAGAACCTTCTTCTAGATCTATTCACAGTGCAATAATGCTACCAGAACATGGAACCTCTCCATTGGCTATCTCTTACTCTGCCTACAAGATGGCAGACTCTCCTTTTGTGACCATCTACCACTCTGATACCTTTCACACCACTTTTTGTAAGCAGCCCCTTATAACTGATACACTGCAGCCTCTTTAAGCAGTCAGTCTATAAGCATTTATTGAGTATTTACTGTGTGCCAGGCATTGTGCTAGGCCCTGGGGATACAAAAGAAGTCAAAAGCATGGTGTGCACCTTCAAGGAGTTCACATTCTAATGAGAGAGACTGCATGTAAAAACCAGTACATATGAGATATATAGTATAAAAGGAAACTAATCTCATAAGGAATTCACTGGCTGGGGAGAGGGGTGAAGAAGGTCAGGAAAGGCTTCTTGCAGAAAATATCTCTTCTTTAACTTTAGAGTGAACTCAGAGATTATGACAGAGAACTGGCTACACCATTTTAAAAATTATCATGTATGGTATTTATTTTGTAAATGGTATCAAAAAACAAATACTAGTCAAACTTAGTCATTGATAATATATAATGTGCAAATATGTGTATGTATTTGTATACATATTTATCATTTCCCGGCATCCCCTCCCAAGCCTACTCTACCCTGCTCAGATGACATCTGGAAGAGTTGGTCAGTTTCAAGTGCTACATTTTTTGGGTTTTTTTTGTTTGTTTGTTTTTTTAGGCAATTGGGGTTAAGTGATTTGCCCAGGGTCACACAGCTAGTAAGTGTCAAGTGTCTGGTCTGAGGCCAGATTTGAACTCAGGTCCTCCTGACTTCAGGGCCGGTGATCTATCCACTGAGCCACCTAGCTGCCCCTCAACTACTACATTTTTAAAGGATGTTAAAAGGCTAGAGAATGTTCAGAGGAGAACAACCAAGGAGGTGAAGTGGCTCAGGTTCATGTCTCATGAAGATCTGTTGAAGCATTGGGGATGTTTCTCTTGGAGAAGAGAAGACTTAGCAGAGGAATTGATGACGCTTTTCTGGTATCTGAAAGGAGTTATCAGGTCCCAGGAAAGCAGAACTAGACTTGTCCTATTTGGTAGCAAAGCAGAAGGTGTCACTTGGGGTGAATCCTGAAGGAAGCCAGTGATTCTAAGAGGCAGAGGAGGTGAGAAGGGAGCGTTCCAGGCATGAGGGACAACCAATACAAAGGCCTAGAGAAGTGAGATGGACTAGCATTGTGAGTGATGAGTAGCCAGCGGAGCCCATATTATGACATCCCTGTTGTGAGTCAGTCACCGAGCTAGGTATTGTAAATGGACAAAATACATGCTCTGAAAAAGAAGCTGGTTGGTCATGTGGAGAGAGCAGGTGATGGTAGATGAACAGTCCAAGAGCTGCATTTCAGAATGCTCAAAGATCCACAGTGAAACCTTCACAGAATTAGGTAGACTCTTTGCAGAGTATTTGTAGACCAGGGATCACAAAAGGATCATACAAAATAGGAAGGCACAGATGAGACCCTGAATCCTTCTCATGGCTAGTTTCCTATGTTATAACAAAATCCAGTAACATTCCACCCTGAGGCATTAAGGCCTCTTTCCTCTCCCGTAGTTCATCCTCCTTTTCCTTGGCTTTCTTTTAGACACTGAAACAGTGTTCTCCTTTTGTAGCCAGGCAATGAAAATTCAGGAGACATGCTTTCAAGGAGTCCATAAATTTCATGAGGGAAAAGAGAGAGGGGTGGCATGTGATTTAATTTGATCTGTATTATCTGGCTTCTCTTAGTGATTTTTCTTGTTACAAAGGAAAGTTCAAAGAATCATAGATTTAGATCTAGAAAGCACTTTAAAGGTCACTGAGTTCACCCCTTTCATTTTACAGAGATGAGAACTCTAAGGTTCAGAGGCATTAAGTGATACTGTTCTCTCCTGGTTCACCTCTTACATCTCTGATCACTTCTTCTCAGTCTCCTTTGCTGTATCTTTAACTAGATTATGCCCACTAACTACGGGTGTATCTTCACATTCTCTCCTGGGCGTTCTCTTCTCCCTCTATACTAATTCACTTGGGGAATCTCATTAATTCCCATGAATTAAATTATTATTTCTATGCTGATCTCTTTACATCTATTTATCTAGCCCTAATCTTTCTCTTTACCTCCAGCTTCACATCCCTAATGGCCTATTGGATATCTCTAATTGGATATTTCTTAGACACTTCAAACTCAACATGTTCAAAACTAAACTCATGCTGTTTTCCCCAAAACCCCCAATCTTCCTAACTTCCCTGTTACTGTTGAGGGTACACCATCCTCCCAGTCATCCAGGCATTCAACCAAAGTGTCATCCTTAACTCCTCACTCTCATACCCTCCTATCCAATCTGTTACCAAATCCTATCAATTCATAACATCTCTTTTATATGCCCCATTTTCTCCTCTGACACTGCGCCCAGCCTGGCGTAGGCCCTCACCACCTCATGTCTGGGCTGTGGCATTAGGCTTCTGGTTGGTCTCCTGCCTCAGGTTTCTCCCCACTCCAATCCATCCTTCACTCAGCTATCAAACTAATCTTACTTAAACTCAGGTCTGACCACATCATCCCCCTCTTCAAAAAACTCCAGTGGATCCCTATTACTCCAGTACTAAATATAAAACTCTATTTTGGGCTTTTAAAGCCCTTCATAACTTGGCCCCCTCCTACCTTTCCAACCTTACTCCCTTCCACATACTCTGTGATCTCATGTCACTAGCCCATTTGCTATTCCACCATTTCCCAATTCCAGGTGCTTAATAAGTGTTTGTTGACTTGTCCATAATCACATAGCTAATAAGTGTCAGAGGTGGGATTTGAACTCATCTCTTTCTGACTCCAACTCCAATACTCTTATCTATTTTGTCATACTGCCTCTCATAAGATTCTTTTGGGATTGGGGCTAGCTATATATCAATAAATGACTTTTTTGAAGTTATCAATAAACATATAATTGGGGGGAAATAAAATATATTTTAAAAGTTAACAAAAAAATTTTAAGTCCAAATTATTATGATTAAACTGGTATCCTTTGTTTATAGAGTTATGACAGCTCCCAGAAACATTTCTTGGGTTAATACAATCCTGATGACTCTGTCGTTCATCTCTACTCTTTTCAACCTGTTCTCAACTGAACCTATCCTCTGAGTATCCAGGTTTTTATCAGTAGACACATGCCTTCCAACAATACAGACCATACCCCTTTACGCCTTCGATCACCATTTTCAAGAAGGGCTGTAACAGACAAGTTCATCAATCCCTGGCCAGCTCTTTCAAGACTTAAGCTAGTCTACAGATAGCAGAAATCCAACATTCATCCATACTCAAAGCCTTTGTGGCTTAGTAGTATCACCTATACTTGTTCTCCCCTAAGATTGCCTTCAAGTACTCAAAGTCACTTCTACATCAGACTGAAGCATCAAATGACTTCAGTAAATTCTAAAACCATTTGGAACCCCCATAGCAACCTTTCTACTTGGGGTTTGCCAAGAACCAACAATCTGTGTAACAAGATAAACTCTGGAACTGTAACCTCAAAATGCACACAACCAAACACACACACAATCACACACACACAGAATGTATATATACATGTGTAAATATGTATCTGTGCACACATATGTATACATATACACATATGTATATAAACACACATAGATGTTTACTGTCTACCTTCCTAGTGGTAGATTCTGACAATTAAACTGAGCCTAAGTTGCTGGTGTTCATTTGTCCTATGATCACAGGGACAGTAAGTAGAAGACGTTTTAAAGTTCTATAATAAGAAGCCTATAAAGGAGGTTGGTAACACTGTCTGAAGAACTCCCAGTAGATCCATGTAGACACTTACATCTTAGAGGAACATAGATTTTCAATAAAAGATTTTAAAATAGGTCTGCAAGAGCCCATTGATCTCCAGGAATGTGGAACTAAGAAGAATGGACAATTGAAAGAAAGTCAGCATTTTCACAGAGACTTTGCCTCCTGGAAATGAAAGCTTTCCTGTCAAGAATCAGAGGGTGACTAAAGTCACCATGGCTCCTCCTGGTCCATTAATTCACATCCATTGAAAGGAACTATTTGGAAATGAAATGTCCCATGGCAAAGACTTGCAAAGAAGAAAGCAGAGATGACCTTGAAGGGCCTATGTTCCACAGGGTAATTAGACTTTGAATAAACTATGTTTCTCTCTCAGGTCAAATCCAGTAGAACCACTTGGAATAGGTGTGAAACTAGTTAGAACTAGTTAGAACTAGTTTGGACTGGTCACAACTATATTGAATCAATTGAAACTGGT